CCCTCAAATTTCCACTTAGGAAGCCTTCTCTACTAGTTCTTTAACCCGAAAGTTGACTGCTTCCTGATTTCTCACACACACACACACACACACACACACACACATCCTCATTTACTCTATTATCAGCACCAGATTTGCCTGATTAGAAACTAGAATAGTAAGGAAAATCAATAATTAAGAGACTAACAGAAGAGTTAAAAAAAAAAAATCAACCTAACTAGTGTTTTAGGATGAAACAAACTCAGAGGCTTGCAGAGATATTTGGATTGTATTTTTCCTTTACTTTATAATCAACTCATGCTAATATAAACCAAAAACACAACTTGAACTAAACCTACACTTCACTCATGACTAATTACAAAGCAGGCATTTCAAATCAGCATTGAGCTAATGTTTTTAGAACAATTATTTCATTTTCAAGGTCCAATATCTGTCGAGTAAATCACCAATTTCCATTTCATTCTTATTTAATATAAAAAAATCGAATTAGTATAAAGCTATTTCACAGCTGTCTTTAAATTAAACCATAGTCAAGAGCATGCAGCATTTGAGGTTTGCTTTGGCTTTGCCAAAGCCAACATTCTTTTTGTTCAAATATTAAAGAACATTTTAGAAATGTTACATTTTATTGTGAAGTTTTAAGCTGGGCTTCATAATCTCAGAATTTTTTTTACGATTTTTTTTTTTTTTTTTTTTACTAGGGAAGCTTAGCCCTGAGCTAACACCTGTGCCAATCCTCCTCTACTTTATATGTGGGTCGCCACCATAGCGTGGCGAATGAACGGTGTAGGTCCACACTCGGATCCAAACCCACGAAGCCAGGCCATCAAAGCAGAACGCACCAAACCTAACCACCACACCACAGGGCCAGCCCCCAAAATCTCAGATTTTAACTTGTGATTTTTCACAAGTAACTCAAATATTGAAATGTATGTTTCTAAGGAGAGGGGCTGGCTACAGAGCAGACTATGAAACATATATATTATCTTGTAACCAGCTTTTTTGTTAATAAGAACTTTAAGAATAACCAGCTCAGCTATTAATACATTTTTGTTAATCAGTTTTTCTTGCATTATGTAGCAAACTAGATCGTCTAGTAGCAAACGTAGACCTTCAAAGAGAAATCAACAATCCCATTTTTCTAGTAAAATATATTTGCCAGGAAAGTATAGATTGTTCAAACAAATACTTTGTTAATAAATTGTTACATAATAAATTAACCCAAGTAAATTCAGGAAACGAGTCTGGTTGGGTCAAAGATGATTGTAGGGTTTTTGGTTTCAGCGTCTTTCCCCTTTTGGTAAAGTAATTTAAAGTGATTCACCAAGCAGGCAGTGCAGCACAGCTGAAGAGCCTCAGGTCCAGCCCTGCCTTGTCCTAGATATGGTAGATTAGGCGGGTCACTTCGATTTCTCTGATCTTGGCTTCATCGTTTATAAAATGGGGGAAACACCTGTTCTCTTCACTGGGGATCAATGGAATGTTTGTGAAAGAATCTTGAACAAACCTAACACAAATACCCTGTACAGCAAAGGCAATTACTGATGATTGGATTAAAGCCTAGCAATTTCTTTCTATTTCAATACATGATGCATAAACTAATAGACCTTTTCTGTAAGTAAAAATCTAGAGAAATTCTTATATAATGGGAGACATCGCTATTATTGTTATCTATAGATATGTGATGGTCTATTTGTAAAAGTGGCTTATTACTTGCGGTATATTGTAAAATCATGAGAAATTCTAATATTTATTGTTTACTGAATAGAATACTCCTTAAAATTCAGTTTGTGTCCAACCAACCTTGGAATTTGAGAAGAAAAACATAAAGGTGTTAGGCTAGATTTTTCTATATATTGTTACAGCCTTTTTCTTCTTGAAAACAGAAATAAAGGCCATAGTAATATTCTGAGTTCAGATAGTATGTTTTTTGCTCAAAATGTATCATGAACCAAAGTCAATTTAATTTATTAAACTAATCTTTCAGAAAGATAAAATAGATGAGTCACTAGATCCCTGGCTCCTCTTACTGAGCCTTTGAAGGAAATAAGGAAACGAGAGCTAACCGTTCCCCACCCCATTTCTGTTGTAACAGATTGGGGAGAAGCAATGAGTGAAGACTGATTGTGCTCTGGACGGGGACCAAGAGCACCGTGTAAGATCTGACCCCTGCATGTAAACCAGACCTGCTGCAGCTGACATTACACCTTGGGGTGATGTTCTGTGACCCAATCCAAATAGGTCTTTCTCCAGGATGGGACAGATGAGAACCAGAGGAGAAAACCCATTAACACCACATCCACTGTAAGTTATGTCCACCCAGAGGGGAAGAAACCTGACCTGCGAATCTCCACGCTGGGCCGAGGGAATAGGCGAGGCAGGGGAACAGAGACTGAGCCATTCCCATCTTCTCCCTTTTCTCCCCACACCACTTTTACTGCTTTTTCTTTTCTACAGTGCCTGGTGTAAAAGAGTGCTTAATATGGTGAATTATACAGGTGGGCTGGAAAAACTGAAAGTTAGCCCAGAAGCAATTCTGCGACACCAATGTTGTTTTCTGTTAACCAGTTTCAGAACTCTACTAATTATAATATACTATAAATTAGAAATAGAAAAAAAGGTGTGTAGTTATAAGATATAGCTACCCCTTAGCAACAGTAGTATAACATTCTTCTCTTAACCAATCTCTCAGTCTCTTAACCACCTACCATACTACATTGTTGAATGAATGGGAAGTTCTTTTAAAGATTTCAACGTGTTCCTGTTTAAAAAGGTTTCAATAGTCTCTGTGGCATACAAATAACTATGGAGACACATAAGATAAATATCGGACGTTCAGAGCTGACCTGTTGTCAGGAGTTGGGAGGAACAGTCATAAACTGCAAGGATGACAGACTGATATAATTGGTGGACTACCTGTATGACGCCATTAGAAACGAGGTGGGCATGCCCATCTAAAAATAAAAAGGCCCTTTGCTCTCCTCTACTAACTGTTGCCTGGATCAAAAATACTAGACTGCTCCCAAGCAGGAAACGGGCAGCCACACTTCTAAGTGCAGTTGCCGCTTCCTGAGCCAGCCGGGGTGCTGGGCCCACCCTCTACACCACGCTATCTGGCAATGTCTGGAGACAGTTAGTTGTTATAACTTGAGGGATAGATGCAACTGGCATCTAGTGGGCAGAGGCCAAGGATGCTGCTCACATCCTATGACGCACAGGACAGCCCCCACAACAAAGAATTATCCAGCCCAAAATGTCAAGAGGGCCGAAGTTGAGAAATCCTGCACTACACCATGAAGACCTCTTCCTACATCACTGCAGAAATGGAAATGTCTTGAAAACTGACAAAACGAGAGGCAGAGTGGAGAGAGGAACTAATGACAGCACAAGCACAAGTGCGGAAGATTCTATGAGTCTTTGAGCAGTTCTAGATAAAAACTAGGAGTTAGACTAGGAGATGTGGAAAATCAGTCTGCCAGCAGCTGTAGGTCTGAGATGGAAATTCAACCGTCATCCAAATGAACAGAAGGGAGGCCAAGGGCAATCCCCATAGTGCTTAGACAGCTCTCACAAGTGTATGGAACAAAAACATACCCTCAGAGGCACAGAGCCTCAAAAGTACATCATCGATATACTCTCCTTGGGGAAAAAAGAAATTACTTCAGACCTAGCTCCAGCTGACCTAGAACTGACTCAAAATTAAGAAATGAAAAATGGAGGAAGTTTGGGCAGCAAAACTCAGGAATCCAGTTTCAACCTGTGTTGTCAGACTGTACAGCTCAGAGGTAAAACACAGCTCTGTAGTCCTTCCTTCAACGACTCCTCACCCAGCGTAAGGAGCTGTGGAGTCAGAACTGTCACTTCTCAGTTTGGACAAACGCTTCAAAGAGCAACTGCGGTCACAATCAAGAACACATCTGGGACAAGGCTTGAAGAATTACGAAACAAGTTTTGTTCATTTGTTGGACTTATTTTTCTCCCAAACATAAAAGAAGAGTTTTATAGAGGTAGCCTGTCATTTTTCATTGCGAAGTAATTCAAGTAAGCAATTCTCTGCATCTTTAAAATGAATATTGAGCGACTTGGGTCACTGAGATATTTTTTTAATTGGTAAAGACAAATATTTCATTGATATTAATTTTAATCAAGCCCTTGCCATTTTTCCATGTAGGATGAATAAATGTTCCTTTGTTAATCATGTGTGAAAATCATATGACAAATGGTTTAACTTATTAACATATATACATATAGAATATCAGCACAGAAAAAGGACAGAAGCAATATGTTAGCAATGATTATCTCTGGGTAGTAGATGTCCAGGTGCTTCTCTTTTCTATTATATACTCTTCTGTATTTCACAAATTTTCTAGAAGGAGAATATATTCTATAATAAAAAATTTTTTAAATCCATTATATACTATATATACCAATAACTACCAGGCAAATCAATGCAAAGGAAAAAGACTAGAAGGAAATGAACCACAGGTAGTCTTTCATTCATTCATTCATTTGTTCATTCATCCAACAGAAACTCACTGAGCACCTGCTGCACCAGGTCTGGGGCTGGGTACCGGCCACGGCAGGTGTTGCGTACTGCTGTCTTCAGGGGGGAGCTTCTAGTGTTTTTCCTCTTCCTTTTGTACTTCTTTAAAGTTTTATTGTGAATTTGTTTTTACTTATAAAATGACAGAGCATTATATTTATTTTTAAAAGATTCTGATAGAGTTATAGTTCCCAAAGAGTGTGTTGGTATAACTGTGTGGCCACGTTCTAATAGATGAGCTTTTGAGATATTTACTTATTTTTGAAGTAACACTGGTATTCCCCAGGAAGGCTTTTCTCTGCCCCTTGTAAATTCATTTCTTTAGCAAACAGAAGCCATAATTTTTAGAGAAAAATTTTTATTAGTAAGATTTTATATCACCTTCAACATCTGCCTATCTTAATATAAGTAACGTATACGTTTTTGAAGAGCAAATTTTTTTATATCTGTTTCTTTAATGTTATTTAAATATCATGAAGTACTTTTTTCACGATAACAAGGGTTTGGGGGTAATAAAAATATAAAAAATGTATAGTGTAAAATAAATGTGAATTTATATAAATACAAAATATCTATACTATGTCTTTTTGTGAATGAGATTTATCTTTAGATTTATCTTTTTCACTCTTTTTCTTCTGTTTTTCTTCTGCTTGTTTTTCAAAATAATCTTTAAGGAGATGGTTCAGCTGTGGTTCATACTGGCTTGCATGTTGTAATCCATCTTCCCTTCCTTAAAAAGACACAAAACGTGAGACAACCATACTTCAGTGGTCCCCATATTATCATTCCAGTCATCTGCACAGTGGCAAATTCAGAGCTGGTCCTACCTTAACGATTCCAAGCACTAACCCAAAAGCTAGTTTTAATTCAAAATGCTTGAATTAAACACATTTTTACTTTACCTTCACAGTGTTGGATCACACGCCCCCATAGTCGATTCTTCCTCAAACAGGCTAAATTTCCCACAATCAACAAATGCCTGCTTCCTCTGGTCAAGGCAACATTCATTCTTTTTTCTGAATCAATGAATCCTACTTGTCTCGTCCTTACACAGGACAGGATAATGATTTCCTTCTCAGCTCCCTGAAAAGCATCTACCGTGGACACCTGCACAGCTTTAACATTGGGATGGTCAAAGTCCACGGTGCTGAGTAAATGACACAGCTGTGGGGGAAAGAAGTCAGGGGTCAGGCGGGCCAGAGATCATGAAGAACCTATGCACAATAACCATTTTAATGTAACTAAAAGGATAATTTTCATTTTCTTTTTTATGACTCACATAGATTTGCCTGGATGGTTTCTAAAATGATAGATAAATAACTAGATGACAATATAAATTATGAAACGAAATCAAAAGTGATGATTTACCTATTGCTGGGGAACTCATTTGGATACGCTAATTTGAGTTGATAAATAAACTAATAATGAAAGGGATGAAAAATACTAAAAAAAATAAAAATAAAAATAAAAACTAGTTAGAAGTAATTGGCTCATGTGTACATTAATATCTGCTATCTATCTTTGATTTACTGATAAAATGTAATAATAACGAAAGAACATTTTGGAAAACAGATTCAATCCCATCTGTCCCAAAACACAAAGCATACACCATATTTTCTTCCCTATAATTTGTTTATTTGCATTTTCGCCCCAACAGCTGTAAACTGAATTTAATTAAACCTTGTTAGGTTTACATTTAATTATACAGAAAAAAAGCCAGACCAGGCAAAAATCGGAATGTTTCTTTTTTAATATATTAACTATAGTCCCCCAAGTTTTTCAAGCACCAAACCAACCTAAATCAAATGTAACATCAAATATTATAATGTAAAATTATAATATTTAACATACGATAAATATCATAATACATAATACAAACCTTGTACATCTGGGATTTGTATAATGTTATCACCCCAATCATAGAGCCCGCAATTCCACTTGCAATCAGTGATTGAATCAGCTTGAGTGTAAAAGCAGCTTCTGCCATATTATGAAAGCTGTTATCTCTTTCAATCTGGAATAAGAAACAGATCCTAAATTATGCTTCCCAGAAAGGCTATGGAAAGACCAAGAAAATCATACAAACAACAACAATAAAATTCAAACAGGAAACGAAATCGTGTTGACTCTCATCAACATTAGTGTCATTTACCTGCTCCAGTCCTTGGACGTTGTAGAAACACAGGGTCGGCAGCCATTCCAGTAAAGGGCTCCTCTCTGCCTCTGAAACACCGTTCATGAGGTGTCCTTCATAGAACAGATCATTAGCAATAGCACTGATCGCAGGGTGACAACGGTACTGCGTTCTCAATAGAACTGGCTTGTGACCCTAAGAAATTTAAATGCAGAACAATAAAAAATTAAAACAGCACTTTTTTCCTTAGGGGAAAAAAAGATAATACTTTAAAGTTTAAAAATATTGCCATATTGTGCTCTTAGCAAATGAATTACAACCATGATAAAATAGACTATAAATAAAAACAATTTTAAAAAGTTACTAAACTGTTTTATATTATTCCATTCTGTAACTAAATCACTTTTTAGTCTATCCTTTATTTGCCCTTTTAAAATCCCCTTAAAAAACCTACTTCATATTTTAAAAGTCATCAACAACAGAGAGGTGAAAGAGCAAAGGGCATAATGATATGCATACTATGCTACTATTTGTTAAAACAGGGGGAAAATATATTATATTTTTGCTTACATTGGCATAAATTATCACTAGAAGGATAAAGGAAAGGGATGACGGTGGTTTTTGGGGAGAGGAGCTGAGTGGTTGAGCGACAGGAGTGGAAGTCTTTTCACTATCTCTACACTTTTTGGTTCGCTTAAATTTTGAATCATGTGACTATATTACCTATTCAAAAATGTTTTAAGAATTTTAAATAATTTTTTAAATTAAGATTTTAAAAAAGCCATTAAAAAGGTCTAATTTCAAAGAGTCTGGACACTGACTTATGAAAGGGGTAGAAAGTTTTGCAATTCAATTCAATTACAATTAAAAGCTCAAGACAACTGAAAGCTTGGGTCTTCACAAAATTAAGTACAACTCAATTAAAAACTCAATGCAACTTGATGCTCAATGTAGGGGGAACTTCTGAATTAAGGTAAAACAAAGCTGTCTTGCAGAATCCATTCTCCAATATCTAAAGGAATAACAACAACAAAAAACACTAAAAACAACAGCAATGAAAAAACTCAGCAGCCATGCAACAAAGAAAGGTTTACAGCCAACCCGATGACATAAACTTTAAAGAGTGCTTGTCTTCAAGAAAGAAACAAGATTCTGGGGTGGAAGGGAGAAATGCCGTACAGTAAGATTCCTAACTTCCCCAAAAGTCATATAATGGAAATGGCTCCTAAGAAGGAAAATGAAAAGGGAAAGTGAGCTGAGCATTTTTAGTGGAGGTGAAGGCTCTGAGGACCAAACATTGAACTGATGGGACATCTGAGGCCCAAGAACATGCCTTGTCTGGGAAAGGGACACCTCCAACCATGTGGCGTGAATCCTGGTACAGCATATTTAACAAAACCTTAGAAGTGAGAGGGCCGATGTAAGCTAATGAAGACAGCACACAATCTTACTTAGTTCTAGTCCAATCCCCTCCTCCTCCCTCCCCCACCATCATATTTTCAAGGTACTGGGAAAATAGAGAGAACACAGAACGCAAATCTGAGAGGGCTGCCCAAGCATGAATGTCAGGAAATGAAACAGGAATGACAACTATGCAAACATACTATAGCCTCTCCCCCAAAATTAATAAAATCAAGGAAGACAATGCAAAAGATACATAGAGAACCCAGCCTAGACAAAAATATAACGAGAGCAGAAGAAAATTTTCCACAATTGTTCAAGCTTTAGCATATAATTAGAATACGATTCAGTAAAACAAAATCTCAAAGGTGTGATGATGAAAAGATAATGAGATTAAAAGGGAAATTTCAATCCTAGAGAATAAACCATTAAAAAAGTATCATTAAAGAACTAATAAACTACAAGCAGCAAAGAACAAATAGAATTTCTTCACAAACTCACTGTAACCCAACTCAAGACTCAATGCAACTTCAAACTCAATGTAGGGGGAACAGAAATAAAATTTCTGACATAGAAGGCTTCACAGATAATGCAGATAAAATTAAAGTAATACAAATGGAAGACAGACAAAGACACCCAATACAAGAATAATTGGGGTACCTCTGTGTTATGGGCTCAACGTTTATAACAACCCCCATTCACACGTTGAAGCCCTAAACCCCAAAGTGATGGCATTCGGAGGTGGGGCCTTTGGAAGGTCATTAGGTTTAGATGAGGTCATGAGGGTGGGGTCCTCATGATGAGATTAGCGATTTTATAAGAAAAGGAAGAGACCAGTTTTCTCTCTCCACTGAGGACACAGCCAAGAAGAGAGTCCTTACCAGGAACCAAATCTGAAGGTAACTTGATCTTGGCCTTCCCAGCCTCCAGAACTGTGAGAAATAAATGTCTGTTGGGTAAGCCGCCCAGTCTATGGTATTTTGTTATAGCAGCCTGAGCTGACTAAGACACTGACAGAAAACTTAACAAATGGAAAAGAAACTTTCCTGAAATGAAGCAAGAACAGAATCTCCAGTTTGAGAGAACTTATATTACACGATGAATAGATACAGAATGCTCCATGTGCAGATATACTGTAGTAAATTTATCAACTTTAAAGTTATAAATTATAGAAAGAGTTCTCACATCCAAGTAGAAAAAATGAATCATTACAAGTGGAAAGTAATCAGGCTGGCCCTAGAATTCATAGTAATAGTTTATGCAGCTATCCAATAGGCCAAGCTGCCATTTACATTTCAACGCAATAGACATTTTGAAGCATAAAAAGAACTCAGGAAAGTAGGCATCTATGAGCCATTCTTGAAAAAAATAAATTGATGATGAAGTCCAAGGCACTCAGAGGAATGAAGAAGCTAAGTATTGAATCTTTTAAATATAGAACTGATTCAAAATAATTGTTCCAAGTATGATTGTAGAACAAAAATAAAAATGACGTAAATAACAAAATAGGAACATGGGAGGGGATAAAAAAGAGGGAAAAGAAGCATGAGAGCACTAATATCTCTACCTCTTGAGCAGAGAAATCAACCCACTCTGTCTAAAATCTCTTGTTAGAGGGACCTTTTAGGAAATCTCTCTTATGGGAGAAGAAATATTGACTTGAGATTTAATAATTCTTTTGTTTCATTTCAGTTTTTCTTCATCTGTTAATAAAGTACAGATTATTGAAAGTTCAAACAGCAAAATAACTCCTTAAATGCAGTTTAAACTAGCAATGATGATAAAATTTTTCTTTTGGCAAAAGATTTTTTACAATTCTTTTGGCTGTAACTATTTTAATCTTCTGCTTACAAAAATAGCTTGATTTAGATTATTGCATCAAAACAATAGTAATGATGAATAGATAAGCAAATTGTGGTGTACACACACAATAGAATCTATTCAGTCATAAAAAGTAATGAAGTCACATAGACCAACAGAATAGAATAGAGATCCCAGAAATAAACCCACACACACATAGTCAACTGATTTTTGACAAGGGCACCAAAACCATTCAATGGGGAAAGGACAGTCATTTCAACAAACGGTGCTGGAAAAACTGGATATCTACATGGAAAAGAATGAAGTTGGACCCTTACCTTATACCATACACAAAAATTAACTCAGAATGGATCAAAGACTTAAATGTAAGAGCCAAAACTATAAAACTCTTAGGAAAAAACATTGGGGGAAATCTTCATGACATTGGATTTGGCAACAATTTCATGGATATGACACCAAAAGCACAAGCCACACACAAGAAAAAAATAAATGAACTGAACTTCATCAAAATTACAAACTTTTGGGGCCGGCCCAGTGGCGCAAGCGGTTAAGTGCGCACACTCCGCTACAGCAGCCCGGGGTTAGCCAGTTCAGACCCTGGGCGTGCACTGACGCACCACTTGTCAGGCCATGCTGTGGCAGGCGTCCCATATAAAGTGGAAGAAGATGGGCATGGATGTTAGCCCAGGGCCAGTCTTCCTCAGCAAAAAGAGGAGGATTGGCAGATGTTAGCTCAGGGCCGATCTTCCCCACAAAAAGAAAAAAAAAAAAGAAAAAAGTATATATGTGGAATTCCTGCAAATCAGTACAAATAAGATCCCAAAAGAAAAACAAAAATTACAAACTTTTGTGCATCAAAGTATATATCAAGACAAACAAAAGATAACCTATAGGATGGAAGAAAATATTTGCAAATGATATATCTGATAAGGGATTAATATCCAGAATATATAAAGAGTTCCTACAACTCAACAACAACAAAACAAACAACCCAATTCAAAACCGAGCAAAAGAGTTGAAGAGGCATTTTTCCAAAGATAAGCACATGAATCCCTGGTCACTAAGGAAATCACAATGAGATGCCACTTCACACCCCTTAGGACAGCTATTATCAAAAAAAAGAAAAATAACAAGTGTTGGTGAAGACGTGGAGAAATTGGAAGCCTTGTACAGTCATGTGTCAATTAATGAAAGGGACACATTCTGAGAAATGTGTCATTAGGTGATTCAGTTGTTGTGTGAACATCATAGAGTGTACTTACACAAACCTAGATGGTGTAGCCTACTACCAACTAGACTATATGGTACAAATCTTATGGGACCACGTCGTATATGTGGTCTGTTGCTGAATGAAACATTGTTATGTGGTGCATGACTGTATATTGCTGTTGGGAATGTAAAATGGTATAGCTGCTATGGAAAACAGTTCAGTGGTTCCTCAAAAAGGTAAGCATAGAATTACCATATGACCCAGCAGTTGCACTTCTGGGTGTATACTGAAAAGAACTGAAAGCAGAGACTTGAACGTCCATAATAGCATTATTCACAATAGCTGAAAGGTGGAAACAACCCAAATCATCAACAGGTGAATGGATAAATAAAATGTGGTATACATATACAATGGAATATTATTTGGCCTTAACAAGCAATGAAATTCTGACACATACTACAACATGGATGAACCTTGAACACATTATGATAAGTAAATAAGCTAGACAAAAAAGGACAAATATTGTATGACTCTACTTACATGAAGCACCTAGAATAGGTAAATTCATAGAGACAGAAAGTAGAAAAGAGGTTACCGGGGCCTCAGGAGAGGGTGGTGATAAGGAATTATTGTTTAATGGCTACAAAGTTTTTGTTGAGAAGATGAAAAAGTTCTAGAAACAGATAGGGTGATGGTTGCACTACACTGTGAATGTACTTAAAACAAAAAGTAATATAGTACTGATATACGCTACAATGTGGATGAACCTCAAAAACGTTGGGCTCAGTGAAAGAAGCCAGACACAAAAAGTCACATATTATATGATTCCAAGTTATATGATATGAAAGTTGTAAGACTGTATGATATGAAATATCCAGAACTGGGGCCAGCCTGGTGGCATAGTGGTTAAGTTTGCGCATTCTGCTTCGGCGGTCCAGGGTTCACAGGTTCGGATCCTGGGTGCACACCTACACACCACTCATCCAGCCATGCTGTGCCAGGGTCCCATATACAAAATAGAGGAAGACTGGCACAGACGCTAGCTCAGGGCCAATCTTCCTCTCCAAAAAAAAAAAAAGAAATATCCAGAATAGATAAATCCACACAGACTGAAAGCAGACTGGTGGTTGCCAGGGGCTGGAGGGAGGAGGGACCAGAGAGTAACTGCTAACTGGGTATGGGGTTTTATTTTGGGGTGACAAAAATATTTTGGAACTAGAGAAGGAGCAGTTGCACGGCACTGTGAATGTACTAAATGTCACTGAATTATTCACTTTAAAGTGGTTAATTTTATGTTATGTGTAAGTCACCTCAATTTAAAAATACACTAATAATTAATTTTTTAAATTTTTTAAAATGTGAAGTAGAGCTCTACAACAAGGGACATGGATAATAGACACATTACAGATTTTTTTGATTTTAGAGCATACTTATTACCCACTACTAAAGCACATAGGGAAAAGACTCATTTTATAAAGGGGCACTTAAATTATAGGGTTCTACCTATCTTAAAAATGAGTACTTCCTAAACAACTCCAATTAAAATCATTTTAGGGCAGGGACTAGGTCTTCTAATATTTTCCTTTTCTATCATCCTACACAGTGTATAAACAATAAATGATAACTCCGTATGAATTTATCAGTAGTACCATTAAGCAAAGTCGATCAAAAAGAGTTTGTTCCAATCCATTTTCATGAGCTGCATCAGAACCCTGAATAGTAGGAGGAAGCTGTTTGGGATCTCCAACAAGAATCAGCTTTTCACACTCAAACCTAAAAACAGAATTCCAAAAATTAATCTAAGCAACGAGAAAAGCATGCATTGACATCATTTATTGCACTATTTTCTAAAATGTGTTTCAAAGAATTCGAATACCATGAAATGTTCTGAGAACTAACAAGGCTTAATAGTGCTAAGTGTATTAAAAGGCTTTGAAAAGTTATGCAGTAAAAAATCCTTTACATAACTTTATTTTTTTCCACATAAAACCTATTAAGTGTACCCTGCCTCTGTATGGAATTAGTATTTCATAGAACACAGTCTGAGATACAGTGATTCTTAGAATCAATAGACTTAGAAGCTTTCTTAGAAATCATTTGGCTTAAACTCTTACTTTAGAGATAAAGTAAATCAGGCTCTCAGGGGCTAAATGTCTGTCTAAATAGAGGTAAGATATAGTGGGGGAAAAGCCCAAATTTTGTAGAAAAACCTATATCCAAATGTCAGCTCTATTATATTCTATGGACACAGCAAGTTTTTTAATTTCGCCAAGCTTCAGTATTCTTACCAGTAACCTGGATGTAATACCACCTTGCACGGCTGTCGTAAGGATTGAATAAAGTATGCAATGTGTTAGTATACAGTAGGTGCTCCACAAGTATCACTCCTCCACCCTCCACGCAGGGCCTGACCCTTCCTCCACCCCTGGCTCCTGAGTAGGGTGACCAACTCATCCTGATTTGCCCAGGACTGTCCCAGTTTAAACACTGGAAGCCCCATAACGCGGGAACTTCCCAAGTCCCGGGCGAATCATGACAGCTGGTACCCTACTCCCTCATTAACTGGGGATGGAGCAAGGGCTAGAACTCAGGACTACTGAGTCCCAGTGTCTTACTCTTTCCCTACCTTTAGGATTCCTCAATAAGAGACGCTTTAAAAGCACAAGGTTTCAATTGGCTGAGACAGCTTAGAAGACTTCATAGTCTTCTCAATTTTAGTTAGACTAATTTTCATTTTCAAGTTCTTTTTCTTTATATACATTATATCCTTTCATAATCTAAAAATTATTTTTAGAACCTAAACACTGGAATTATATCAAGGTGAGGCAACTGAAGAACATTCTTCAGAAGAGTTAGGTTCTCAAACTATGACTAAAGAGGAACCTTGAGTCTAGTTGAGAAATCTGCAAGGTTCTAGTAGAATCCTAGCACTAGAGCCATCAAGGTTTTAAGGATTATGTGATCCAAATATCTAAACTGTGATCTAACAAAATTTTGATACATTAATCCCCCAAAATTTCCCTCTGCATTCTTTTAAAAAATCAGTTTAGTATTAGAATTGCTAAGATTTTTCACAGAAGTATGGTAAGAGTTTGAACTGAGGAGATGTTTGAAATAATTGTGACATCTGAGTGCCCTTTGGAGAAGAATCTTTTAGGTTACCTTGCAATAGGAAGGAGGGAGGCCGGCTCAGTTATCTGACTACATTCGTCCAGCACAACCACAGGAAATTTAAGATCATTCATGCATGGGAATGGGCAGGCCGCACAGGTAACTCCAACTACTCGAACCTTTATTACAACAAGAATGGTACTGATTAACAGCTACTAAAAAAAATAAAACGTATTTACCAAAGAACTTGTAGGCTAAAATCAGAAATGAGCTAGTCCTAATTACTCACTATCAGAAATCATGGGTCACTTTATCTCCACATTTTCATTATTCCCACATAAGAAACAGAAATCACAGAATATAGGCAACAAGCTCATTAATAAGAACAAATAAAAGGCACATTTTGATATTCAGAAGGAAGGTATTATAATATCAAGGATTTCTAAAACATTAAGGATAATGTACATTTTTTATCCTTCTAGATGAGGCTGAATAAACACAATATGTGTTATTATCAACACAGGCCAAAGTTCTCCACAAAGAGCACTGAACATGCTAATGAACTGTCCTATGCTTAACCTTCAAGCACACCAGTATTTTGACTTATTTAAGAAGGTAAAGAAGGCTAACTAATTCCGGACAACAGTAAATTAAGTGTACTTGTAGCCTGTAAGTATATTTGAATTTTATAAGTCTTAAATATTGTAGCAGAATATTCTCAAGGCAAAAAGCCTGACAAAAGCTAATATTCTATCTCTGGAACTAAATATAAATAAGAGGAAAATCAATGAATTTTCTAATTGGATATGGTTATTGGCCTAGTAGTCTACTACATAGTCTACTAGTAGTCTATACACACATATACATACACACACATGCATACATACATACACATACACACATATACATAAATATATACACACATACATACATATACATAAATATATACACACACATATATGTATACACATATATATTTTTCTCTTCTAACAATCTGAAGTATAATTACACTTCTTGGTAGCAAGGGCAGTCCATACAAACTGACCATATCTTTTGTAAATAAATGTGATTGACAAAAGTTGTTTTACAAATTAAATACTGCCTCCATAGATCCTGTGAAACAAGAAAACATTATAAACACTTTATTTTCTTTAATAATAAATAATATTCATCATATATAATAACCTCTGTCAGTTAGGTTTTCCTTCTTTTGTTAAAAACAAAAATCCTAAAGCCACATTTATATTAGGAACTCTACAGTTTTTAAACATTCAGTTCTTTTAAAATGATCCAGCAAAGGACACCCTTGTAGCAATATACACTGCTCTTGGTACCACTCTCAAACATCATCCGTTATCTAATTTCTGGTTACTACGTCTGACAAAAACAACCTTAGAATGAGAACCCTCAAGTTGTGAATCAGGGGGCAATTTTTTTATTTAAAGAAATATCTAATACAAAAACCTAAAAACTTAAGTTTTTTCTTTAAAAATTAATTATTTGTATCTTTTAATATATCATTATATTGCCGAGATTCTAACAGCAAAAGAGATTTTACTATTGATCTAAGAAGTAGTGATTAACTATGAAGCATTTTTAAAAATTGGTTTTATTGCAAAGACATGTCACTTTAGCAATGTGTCAGGTCTAACCGGACCTTGGAAATCTGTTAGAGAAAACTTTGTAAAAAATGGTTCCTTTAAAAGCTTTTTCATTTGTGAACAGGTAATACCAACGAGCAGTATATTATGGTAACTGGGCTTTCACTTAGAAAATCAACGAGCAGTAGATTATGGTAACTGGGCTTTCACTTAGAAAATCAACGAGCAGTAGATTATGGTAACTGGGCTTTCACTTAGAAAATCATCAAAGAAACCATTAATGATGATTCTTATATAACCATATTATGTTGGATAAGTGAGTAAAATGACAAATAATTTACATAAATGACTAATTTGCATTAATTGAACACAGTCAAACTAAGCCCTTCTGGATTTGGTTGGGGAGAAGGGAGTAGAGTTAACTCTGTAACTCAGATAATAGAAAGGTAGCTTGGAGCCTTTTGCGGACTTGTTGTAGATTGGTTATTATTTCCAATTTCTGCCTCCTCCTGTGAGAGTATTACACATCCAGGCCCTTTGCCTTGTGACTTTGCAGTGCTTCCCACCAGAGAAGTAGGTGGAGTATATTTCCCTGTCCCACTGATGTTGAGTGTGGCCATATGACCTCTTACACCAAATGGAGTGTTAGAGGACACGATATGAACAGAAGCTTTCAATGTATTTGTGTGATCCAGCCTGCTCTCTTGCACTTCTGCTATCTGTCAGGAGAAGGCCATCATGCCATAGGCAACTGTTCTCAGAATGAGAGACCTGACTCATAGCCTCAAGCTGAGCCACACCAATTGACCTGTAGAGTCCTAAGTTTGTTGTCTTAAAGCATTGAGATTTTGTTTGTTAAGCAGTCTTATTTCAGCAATAGCTAACCAGTAAAGGGTCCCAAGCATGCTGATTTTCCCAAATCTCTTGCAGAAAGTGACCAATCTCCATGTGGTCCAAGAAGCCAATAACCCTCTTTTCCTCCATCCCCCTCACTTTTCCCCAAGCTCTCCTTGCATAGGAGGAAGGTACTAATTGGCATCTTTTTCCCCTACCAGCTGATGCCCAAGCCATCCTGGATCGGAACTTGATAAAGGGGATGATGCTACTTGTTATAGCCTAGGATCCTGTGTGTCCAGTCTTAGCTCCCAATGCCTGTCCCAAGACCTTGAAAGGCCTGTCTTTCTATGAGCTCTAAATTAAAGAGCTCTAAAATTTTACTTGGATATTTTGCCCAGGGTCAGACTTTCATTTCCTCTATTTCTCCTAGGGGAAAAAAAAAAAGTTTCATTTAACTTTCCAAGAATATGTCCCACCTCTTCTTTTTCTTCTTTAAGCATATAAAAAGATACAACAGGGAAAAAGAGAAAGGACGACTCACTCATGGTGAGTTGGATCTGTTCACAAATTTGAAGAATGCTTTGCAATAAAATAAAATGTGCACTGGATAGACATATGCACACCTTACTTGAATCTAAGCTATTACAGTCGTTCGTTTTATTTAAAGGAAATATTCTCCATCAACAGAAATAAAATAAATCATAATAGCATACACAAATCATAAAGAAACCGATGGAAGCTCCTTCCCCTCACCTGCCTCAGCAGGGTTTTATTGGTCCCCAGCTTGTGCTGCTCAATGCTTTTTCTCACACAGACTCTCTCTGCAGGGGTCAGGTCTTCTTTCATCAGTGCATGCAGTTCTTTCAACTGTTCGCTTTCATTTTCTGAGCCAGCATGCAAGCTATAAAAAGAATTGTATAATTTACTCCATTTTTCATTACACCATAAAAAGTAAAATACAGATTTTCTAAGTTAACCAAGTAAAAGATAAGGCTTCGAGCACTCTTCTCCAAAAACCAATTTTAAAGTAAGAGTTACACAAAACTATTCTACTTCTTTGGACATTCTGTGACTTCTGGAACTTAGCATTCTTACCTATAAGGTAAAATTGGCTTGGCAATCTTCCTAACACTCCCAACTCTGACAAACTTTTCAAATCCAAGACTGAGAAGCCTTTAAAGAAAACAAGGTAAAATAGATTCTGATTATTTAGAAAGTAGAAACTGAGATTTCATATAATATTTATTAAAATTAACTTTGTGTAACAGTATATTTTATAGTTATATAATTCAATGTAAAATGCCTAACTCAAAGTAAATGCAACGTAGCTAAAAGACTTTTTTATGTAATGCATTTTATAGAGAATTTTTAATATCTTATGTTGAGGACTCATTAAATGTTCATAAAAACCAATGTTAGTATTTATCGCTAATAAATTGCCCCTAAAGACATAATAATATGGAAAGCAACAGCTACCAAATATTCAGCATTGAGATTTATTAGGAAGACTGTCAGCCTCTTTATGTACATTATCTCATTTAATACTCCTTACAGCTCTGCATGCTATCTCACCTTAAAGAGGAAGACACTGGAACTCAGAAGTGAGGTGTTTTGCTGAGGCCATGCAGCTAATCAGTGGGGTCAGCCGTCATTCAAACCTGGGCAAGTCTGTCCACCTCCAAAGGCTGTTACGGTTCTTCTACATGCATTCCCCCCACTTAGGGCTAAGAGAAGCCACAGCCCTCATCTGCCCTTCCCTCCTACGGATCTCACAGCTCCAGCTCTGTGCAAGGAACAGAGCAGGAGCCCAATGAACGTCCAGTCTCTAAAACGTCTTCTCCCACCTCAAATGGGAATTAAAGAGCTGGAAAACTAAAGAAACTACAGCTCTCCAAACATAGTTTTCCTAAATAATTTTGAAGCAATTTATTTAAGGTCAATACGTGAATAGATTTCAATTTTTGCATTTTTCATAGTCCTCATCTTGGAGGATAGTCAGCTACTTTCAGTCTGAAAAGTGCCTCGTTTACATTTTTCCAATGCCAGTTTATGTTAATTCTATGATAACAGAGGGTGCAGTAGCCTCATCATACTGCTACCACAGGGTAAAAAGTATGTTTCATTTCTTCTCAAGAAACTGTTTGTCCTCTCCTGTCCATTACAATCAGAATACATGGTCCACGTGCACAGCTAAATGTTACTTCAATGAGAAGAAATGTGTGGTCCAGCCTATATGCAGTTGAGGTATATATCCCAATTACAGATTCACATTTCTCAGGTCCTTATCAGAGGCTTAAGCATTCAAGAATCTCTGCTAAATGTTTTGTTACCTTTTAGTGTTCAGTGCTTACCTTCCCTTTTCATTCTACTTCTTGATATTTCCTTTTCTAACAGTCTACAGTTAAATTTTCATCTCAGGCTGAGCAATCTAAAGTTTCTTCCTGTCTAGTCCCCAGGTCTCCTCATTGTCTTGAACCAAAAAATGTCTCAGCTGGTGTTTTAGATTACTTAGCAGGGTGCACACTGGCAGAACCTTTCTGAAGGGCAATTTTGCGAAGCATATCAGGAAGCTTAAAAATGTTCCTATCTTTTATACTAGGCCTAGGATTTTTTTCCCAAGGAAAGAATCAGAAATGGAGACAAAGACTGATGTTTAAGGATCTTTGTCACAATATTGTTTATAATGGCAAAAATCTGGAAAGAACTTAGTGATCAAAAATTGCTTAACTAAAGTATGATATAAGCAAATCACTACATATAATAGAGCTATGAAAAATTACATTTTCTAAGAAGATTTGATACCATAGAGAAATAAGCTTTCAGTAAAAAAAGCAGGACACAAAACAATATATACTGTTGAACATCATGTTTAGAAAACAAAATGAGTGTGTATGTATAAAAAATCTGTAAAGAAATATAATAAAATATTATCTGAATAGTCTGTATATTTTCTATCATAAGTATTAATTTATGTAATTATAAAAGTTAATTTTTAAGCCTACACTTATAAGGATTATTTCTCCTAATTAAACTTTGTCATTTATGTTGAAATTCAGATCATTAAACATTGGAATATTGGTAAAATATTAGGTAATATTTTCAATAAAATCTTACACAATCACAAAAATTGTATACCTGTAGAACAGACTGTGATTGCCTTCTTTAGATCCCTCTTATTGAAACCAAACACAAAATTTAATTGTTCAGCTATTTTACTATCATGTGTTCATACAGCAGGTGGACAAGAGAATGACCTATAATTTGGTTCTGCAATTTTAGCCTACTTCCCAGGCTCCTGGATCAGCGACAAAGGACTTTCACTCACCGCACAGGAAGCAGCATGAGCATCAACATATCTGCGTTGGTTTCCCTTGGTCCCCAAGTCCTATGGGGAGCCGCAGAGGGTCCAGATGGACGCCTGCACATGCAGTGGGTTGAGTTGTAGGGAAGGAACACTAAACTTGGGGATCCACTACTTTTATAACAAGCAGTAAGCAAACTTGCTCTTTGTCTTGGAGGGAGACATTACCTTATCAGTCAAGGTTACTTGCTGTAAACACAATCTTGAGAAATGTTTTGGGTAAGAGTGGTCAGGGCCTTACATCCTTAGCATCCCAGTAGGGATGTCAGGGTCCCAGGGCTTATTGCCTCTTCCAACATACACCTTTCAGCTCTACGTGTTCTTGGTTGACCTCAAATTTTTACATAAGTATCCCAACCTTGTGCCAAATTGTCAGGTTTGGTATTTGATTTTACTCTACTTACAAACTAACAAGTTAGCCTATTACTGTTTCATGGATACTGGCTCTTGTGTCAGAGACAAAGGCCTTGCATTTTTGGCATGCTTGGCAAAAGCACGCAGGGACACGCAGGGCCCACGGTGGATTGCCTTTCTCAACAATAACCTAAACATTAGCTATGTAAATACACCTGTCACACCTACCCAAGAAGTACTCTGTCAACAGCTACATTAGTGGAAGAAGAAATCAGAAGTTTCCACGGTCTTGCATTTCCAACTGTAGGAGCTTCACTCTTTTCAAATAGCTGTACAAAAAACAAAATCACCACTGCCAGCAAATAACTCTTTCCTGCTCCAAAAACACCTAATTATTTTGAAGGAGGAGAAAAAAATAAAGGCAATATCATAATTAAATTTCTGAAAGCACAAGAAATATTTCATCCACCTCTCTCCCTCTTTCATTTAATTAATTTATTCAAAAAACAATTGAGTGCCCAGCACAAGGGATAACTGGATAAATAACCAAAAAGACCTCCACATTTAATGAGACCCTAGCCTACTTAGAGAGATAGACAAAGTAAAGGAACAATGAGAGAATAATACCATAGGTAACATTGTTATGGTATCAGAGAAAGAGCATCTCTCTCTGCTTTGGTGGAGATGGGAAAGCTTTCTAAAAATAAGAGGCAGCAGAACTCAAGTATTCCAGAAGAAGATCTCCAGTCTGCTTAAAAAAAAGGTCATTCAGGCCTATTTTGTCCTCAAAATAGGACAAAAAGCAGGACTGACTTTGGAGTGGAGGCCAGAGGAAATGAGCTAAAGAAGTGCGAGAATCCAGATACAAGCATTAGCTCTGAAGAGGAGAAAGCAAAGCTCCTTCACTGGGACAGAACCAAAAAGGTAAGACTAGGTTCAAACATGTAAATCGGAGAAGAAAGGCAGGACACTGGAAGGAGCTTCTGTTATGAACTCCATTTCATGTTTTAGAGGCAAGATCAGTATCAGAGAGAGTGGAGCAGGGGCAAGTATGGGGTTATGAGAAGAACGAAGGTTTGGAACAGCTGCTGGGAAGGATGGAAGAGTGAGTTGATAGGAAATACAAGGCTTTGCTGGTCAGAGTTGAAGTCCACTGTAACAGAAAAACATGTAGACATACAGAACAGGTCTGGGTACTTTGATATGAATGTACAATGCTACTCATTCATCAGATATGCTCCCTATTCTCCTGTTCAGGGTGGACAGTTGTGCTCTCACCTAATAGTTTACCAAAGTAGGTTCAGATTCAAAAATCTATTCAGAGTTATTCTGGAAATCTTGTTTGACTACGAAATTACAAATGAGCAGACTGAGTTACAAAAGTTTATATAACAATGTATTTACTAGAACTGTTTTCTTTCTCGCTTCTTACCATGTATGATGGTGATAGGGAGGGTATGGGTTCGCTGTTCCTCCACTTCTTCCACGCTTTCGTGTGAGGCCATCATTTGAGCTATCTGAATCAGAGCTGTAGCTTGATCCTTGTTTAACTTGTGTGCCTGAATTAACTCACTAGCTAACTGCAACGTTGCTCTTAGACTGAGGAGTTCAAATTTTGTGTTGATATTTGAGAAGGCTGGTGGGATAAATTTTCTTTTATTGACTCTCTTGTTGCTAACTGGAGTTGATGAAGACCTAGTAAAAGGGCAGGAAATAAAATCAAAGAAAAACGAAGCACTTTTGAAAAAGGTGAGTAAACCTATTCATAACTTAGCGTTCACTTTATAAGCAACACAGAGAACATTTTTTTACAGGCACAAACGGATATATACAATTTGGAGGAGAGTGGAAAAGAAGAGAACTAACATTTGTTGAATACCTACTATGCGCTGGCACTATCCTAAGTATTTTACATGTTATTTGATGTAATCTTCACAACAACACTAGGAAGTAGTTAATTATCTCAGATAAAGATACAGACATATTAAATTATTTTCCTGAAAAGCAAACAGCTATTAAGTGGTATACTGACTTTAAAGCCCATGTTCTATTACATAAAACTGAGATAATTAATATAGCCTCTATTTCAGGTAAAACTGCAATAAATAAATTTGTTTTATTTCTCTTTCTATAAAGACTAAATTCATTTCAAAGTAGATAAACAACATAATGGAATCATAAAGATATTTATTTTTTATCTAGGACTTCATTATGGTGAGAAAATGAAACACCACAAGACAGATCATAACATTCCAAACTAGAAAGTAGACTTTTTCTATTATTTTAATGAATTTAATATCATATCACTTCCAATTTTTAAAAAAGGGGCATAGTGCTTGAGAAATTACAAACGAGGTAAAGGTTATGTCAAGAAACAAAATTAGTATCAATATACATACTGAATTCAAGCTGCAAAATGATTCTTTTAAATGTTAAATAATCTGTGGCATAAAAATACACATGAATAAAAAAATAAAATCAACACTCAAAAGATCCTTAAGAAATTATTCCTTGACAAAGGGAAAAAATTTGCAGTAACATTTATTAGCCCCAATTATAAATAAATAGATGGATGGATGGATGGATGGATGGATGGATGGATGGATGGATGGATTGATGGGAAATGATGCATATTTCCCTCTCTCTTTTTATTTTTAACTAGTGACTGACAGTAACCTCATAATCTCTAAAAGATAATTAAAATTATTTGGCAAAAATTTATGTAACATACTTTTATTGCATTTTCATATTCACATCTAGTCACGATTTTGGAATGCCAAAGACCCAGAGGTAAATAGCGACTTACATTGTTAACAGATTCTGTGTTAGAGGCAGAGTAGCTGGAGTAAAGTAGTCCTGGATGTTTTTCAAAGTGGTCAGCTCTGTGCTAGCATTACAAACCAGTAACGCATGGACCACTACTGTAGAGAGGATGCAGAAAATGAACATTTAATGTAAATAAAATGGACCACAAAAAAACACTATTAAATGTTCATAGAACTCAGAGTTCAGCTACTGAATACATGACATAAAATAAACCCTTATGTACACACAGACGTCCTTTTATCCATTCAACTACTATACTATCTGCTCATTCATGCTTTATATATGGGTGCCCATACACTGCATAACTTAAATCAAATCTGGACTTCCACACATCAGCTGATGAACAAGAACACCTGTTCTGAGTTAGAGCGTGGTGCACTGCTTGACAGCCAGCAGTCCCCTTTATCAGCATACTGCCTTGCCATACATATTGCTGCACAATAGTATTTGTGTAATTTTTGAACATTCTCTTGCATTTCTTCCTCAATTATTTTAGAGAAATATATGAAAGGTAGAAAACTAGAATGTTAATATTGGTGAGGAAACAACTGCAACAAATATGAAAATACGCATATGAAAAGTGACAAACGTTCACTTAATTAGGCTCTTATTGGACTCAAGATGGTTGACTAGGTTTATTGGAGTTCTGAAAGAAAAAATCGAAAGTTAAAAATATATATGAAATACTTGAAGTAAGTCATTAAACGCTGTCTTTAATTAGTTATGGACCAAAATTTGACCATCAGAATTTATTCCAGAGGGCCGGCCCCACGGCTTAGCAGTTAAGTGCGCACCCTCCGCTACTGGCGGCCCAGGTTCGGATCCCGGGCGCGCACCAACACACTGCTTCCCTGGCCATGCTGAGGCCGCGTCCCACATACAGCAACTAGAAGGATGTGCATCTATGACATACAACTATCTACTGGGGCTTTGGGGAAAAAAA